TACCAATGTGCATTAGGAACTTTAAAAACAGGTCATTTGACCTACTGATTCAAGTCTAGGAATCTTCCCTAAGATGTCCACAAAGATTTATCTATAAGAATGTTTACAGATTGGTAACAGCAGAGCACTGCAATCAAAATGCCCATCAAAAAAAGAAAAAAAAAAGATTGGATAAATTAAGACATATCAGTGCAATGGAAACACAACACAATCTAATTTTCAGGGGTGCCTGGGTGGCTCAGTGGGTTAAGCGTCTGCCTTCGGCTCAGGTCATGATCCCAGGGTCCTGGGATCGAGCCCCGCATCAGGCTCCCTGCTCAGCGGGAAGCCGGCTTCTCCCTCTCCCACTTCCCCTGCTTGTGTTCCCTCTCTCGCTGTGTCTCTGTCAAATAAATAAATAAATAAATAAATAAAATCTTTAAAAAAACAAAAACAAAATCAAATTTTCATAGGCCATTTAGTGACTTGGAAAAATGTTTACAACATCATTGTAAGTGGGATGAGAAAAAGCATATAAAATACCATGTCAAATAATTTGTGTGTATATATATATATGAAAAACTGGAAAGAAATGCATCAAAATGTTAATACAGAATTGTCACTTGGTTGTTGGATTACTGGAGACTGTTGTTTTCTCCTTGATATTTTTCTGTATTTTCCAGATTTTGTACAGTAGCGAGTTATGACTCTTTACATTTGAAAAACAATGATAAATATTTTAAAAGAAACAAAAAGGAATTTGCCTCATGTAGAGTGAAAATGGAGGGAAGAGAGGTGTCTTAGGAGGCCAGGCCAGCTGTGACCTGGCTGCTCTAGTATGATTCAGACTCACCCTGGTGTCTGGGGTGAATTTCAAGCTATATTCTCTTTTGTGAAATACCTTGGTATAGTTGATGCCAAGGAATTTGGGTCAGTGAGAAAGTCCTTTCACTAGATACTACTTTCCCATTACATTCAAAGATAACAGACTACAGGATCTGGGACACGGAGGGGAGCTCACAGTTTAAATGATGCCTTCTTGGGGCGCCTGGGTGGCTCAGTCGGTTAAGCGACTGCCTTCGGCTCAGGTCATGATCCTGGAGTCCCTGGATCGAGTCCCGCATCGGGCTCCCTGCTCGGCGGGGAGCCTGCTTCTCCCTCTAACCCTCCCACCTCTCATGTACTCTTGCTCTCTCAAATAAATAAATATATCTTTAAAAAAAAAAAAATAAATGATGCCTTCTTTACTGCTCTTGGGTCGTTGACTCTGTGTATAACCCCCCTCCCCATAACACCAAGCAGACAGCTGCACTCAGTATCAGAGTTTTTTGGGCAGGCGATGGACTCCACTCTCATTTGGGAGACACTGCCCAAGCACAGTGCTTCTGTGGAGTGGTTTCAAAGCCTCCTTTGGCCAGTGCACTGGGAGCCCCCTAGAATGCCAGGAAACACTGTTTTTGCTTTTGTTTTGTTTTGTTTTGTTCTGTTCTGGCAGAGAGATGGCTCAAATTCATCCTCTCTCACAGATTTCAGTGACACCCCCCCACCCCCAGGTCAAACCTCTCTCAGAATAAGATTAGAAGCCTCCCAGTTAGGCCTCTGGCCTACAGTCAAACCTTTCCAAATGACCTTGAAAATTTTACACCACATGCTGTGGCTAGTTAGGGAGTGGGACTAAGGATCTCAGATGAAAGTCAATTTAGAAAGACAAAAAATAATTGGGGCACCCGGGGTGGCTCAGTAGGTTAAGCGGCTGCCTTCAGCTCCGGTCATGATCCCAGGGTCTTGGGATCGAGCCCCAAGTTAGGTTCCCCGGAGTCAGGCTCCCTGCTTGGCAGGCACCTGCTTCTCCCTCTCTCCTGCTGTGCTCTCCCCCACTTGTGTTCTCTCTCTCTCTCAAATAAATAAAATCTTTAAAAAAAAAGAGAGAGACAAAAAATCTAAAATGATGAGACTTACAATATTAATACCACTATCAAAAGCTAAAACACCGATGCTGACCCTAATTATAATTATTTTCATCAACACCTTGACTTGCCAAACATTGTCCTAAGTTGCCTAAACCATTTCACATTTATTACTTTATTTATCCTGACAGAATCTTAGTTTTACAACCTTTAAAAATACCATTTTGGAGGCAGGAGGAAGCTTTCAAGTTCTGATGAAAAGCAGAGGCTTCTTGAGTTAAAACAAAACTGTGAAGTCTTCAAGTGTGGTGTTTTCCAACTTCGTTCTTGACAAGAAATCAGGGGATTTCAGCACGAGAAATTACAAAGCCCTATTACCATGAATTCTTCGCTTTGGTGAATATGACGTGGCCTTATTGCAAAACCCTCTAAAGGGAGTGAGAGAACATTCATAAATGCTGACCCAGAGTAAGAAGGGGGCTTGTACTTCTGTGCTGTGAAAACAATAAAACCCCTGGGATTAAAAATAAGCAATGGGTCTAGGCATTGCCTATGTCAGCCTGCTGTGCTCAGTTCACGTCTGCGCATCACAGATCCACAGGCCCAGGCTAAACTCTTTAGGTGACCTAAGCTCCAAAAAAACTATGGTGCCCCACATTTTAACTATACCCCTCACATGGAATTAAAAATTTTTTAAATAATAAAATATAAGACTAAAGTTAAGGAAGCTCAAGAAAAGTCAAATTGTTCCCATGATGTCTACTTTGACACTTGATTGAAAATGTTGAAGATGAAAATATTTACAAAGTGTATACTTGTTACCCCTGCCTTATTGGTGCGTCTGGGAGATCACCCAGCATGCTGTACCAAGGCTGTGGAGGAATCTTGCTGACAGTATTGAAATTCTGATTTGGCGATTCCACAATGTAGCTAGACATCAGAAATCAGGAGGTTGACCCCAGCCTACTGCCTCCACACACATACTCGTATGTCAATTCCTACATACTTAGTGCTTCGAGGAGTCATTATCACATGGCAGTTTAAATTAACAAACTGTGACTACCAAGTCTCCCAAGTGAATGGACCCCGACACCTTTCCTCCTCGACTGTGGCCTTTGGCTTTGCCCTTCCTGGCAGACGCTGTTAGACTGGGACTTTGGGCAACAGATCGTCCCCACTTGGCTCTAGCTTTTGAAAACTAGCACTTGTTGTCAACTTACTCCTTTGGCTGCACCATCCTAAGCAGGCTCTGCATTCCCCCCGTTCAACTTGGTCCTCTCTTTAGCTTCCTCTATGAGCTCTCGGTTCTCTAGACACTTTCAGGACCAACCAAGGCACAGCCAATGAACTGTTCGAGATTAAAGCATTTTTGCAATCAATCAACTTATTCTATTCCACTGCTCCTTAGACCACTCCTGATGTGAAGGCCCTGGGCAGAGGCAAGGCAGCAGTAATAGGAGACTAGGCCAGGCACCAGGCTCCATGAGAGCCCGAGAGGCTGTGTCAAATTGGCCAGTAGCTGGTCTTTCCACACAATGGACAATGTGTGTTCTCCAGGGTGTGGGTGCCAGAAATGTCAAGTCCAGGGGCAAAATTCAGTTAGAAACCAGAGCGTCTAGCCAGATATCGACAACAAGACTAGAGAACTAGCTCAAAGACTGTAGTCCATTTTTAATATACGTGCTGCTGAAGCAAGCACATGTAGTCCATTTTTCTTGGAGGTCTTTATGATGCTTTAGGGGTATCATAAGGCACCCACCATATGGTTTCTGATATTTACCAGCAGGGGAATTCTGCGCTAAGACCAACAATGGCGAAAAGGCTATATAAAATATAAAATTAGTTCAGAGTTCTCCAAACAGGGGTTATGGCCTTACCACTCATTATTTCAGTGTATGTTTTGAAACTTTTCCTGAAAAGAAAAACCTAGAATTATGTATCAAATCCTTAGGGTTGCACTAATCTCTCCAGCCTGAGCCTTTTTAATCTACTTTTAAATGTTTCTCTAATAACTTGGTTTGAAGATCCCATCTTAGTCAGGGATTCCACCCCCGCTCCAACACACACAAGATTAAAAAGTGGGCAAGATCTGGAGTAGATCAGGCAGGGCAGCTTCTGAAAGCTCCCAGGAGCAGACAAAACCATGAGCTAAAGAAACCATGAGCTTCCCAATAGGCTCAGGGCTCAAAGTTGGCAGGGGGGACAGAATTCTGTTGGACAATTCCCATTAGCTTAACTAGACCTAACACCAGGAAACAAAGCCAAAATGGTCCTAGACCAAGAGGACACTAGAGGGGAAAATAAGGGGAAGAATGTTCTTCCTCGTGTACTGGTCACTGGCAGCATGGTAGTGCTCATATAAAGGCTCAGGGTTAGAAAGAACAGAAGCATCTTGAAAAATCTCACCCTCTGCTCCTTGCCGATATGGCCAGATGTTACTTAAGACAGTCAGTCAGAGAATACTAAATACCCCAGGGAATACTAACTTTTTGCTTCTCCCACGGATTCATTCTGCCCTCTTATCCTTGAGCATCTCTAAGTTCTTTATTATGCTGTGCCAGAGAGGACTACCTCATACCCAGAAACTCTCCAGAGCCATCACTGGGAAGTGGCTGCCTCCCCAGGGACTACATTTCCCAGACCCCTTTGCAGTTAGACATGGTAATGTGACTGAGTTTTAGTCAAGCAACTGTGAAAAGAAGTGTTGTACATCCCTTCCAGGCATGGCCTGCAAAAATCTTCCATGTGCACTTTTTCACACTCTTTTTCTCTTCCACTGGGGAGTGGAGACAGTCCAGGTGACCTTGAAAACCACATGCTACAGGTGGAGACTCTGTCAATCTGTAGCTCTGAATGAATGTGGGAGAGTTGCCCCACTACACCCTGTTACATGAGCAAGAAATACACTTTTATTGTGTTTGAGCCATTATACATTTTTCAGTCCATTACAGCAATTAGCTTATCCTAACTCTTACACTTCCTTTTGGATACAGCTGTTTTTCTTGTGTGCGGAAGTTCCCATGCCCTCTCCCCTCCTTAAATTTTACTATAAACCAAGAGAATAGAATTAGTAAACTCAAATTTAAGCAGCCATTAGGGGCAAATGACACTCACCAAATTAGTGGTCACAGCATTCAGATCTTAAATCCAGAAGAGCAGAAACTTAGCAGAGTCTCACTTCAAGACAACCTGGTATATTAAAATAGAACAAAAAATAAATGTAAGATGTACAAAGCAAATACATTAGAATTACAAAACAAATATATGGTTACTTTCTAAAGGGTATTGTCAGATCACGACGGAATGTGCCACTGTTTCCCAGCAAATGACAATCTTCCCTATTGCCTTTAAAATAAGATTTATTTTTTTAATACATCCCCCTCCAATCATTATAAAATAGAATTTATAAAGAACAATTCTACTCTGCTAAGTAAGCTATACAAAGACTAGGTGCTGACTCAGGGGATGACATTGGAGGCTAGGAACACTGGGTATGAGTTCTCTGCCGATGGACTCTGAAGTTCTTATGTACACATTTAAACTTTTCTCTCAGGAACTTAACTTTCCTGGTTAGGAACTTTCAGAGCTTGTAAAATTCGAGGCTATGCAAAGACTTAAGTTTTTTAGGTGATGTTAAAACAGACATCAGAGATACATTATATCCGTCTTTGTGTTTAATATCATTCCAGATGCAATGGCACGAGTAGGAATTAAAATAAGCTCTCTATAAACACGGTGATGAAACAATGGAGGTGCGCGCACCAGAACAATCAGAGGCAACCAGAAACACGCTCTGTAAAGGGCGGCAGGTTGTGAATGTTTTCTTACCAGAGCTGCCATCTTTTACCAGGTTAAGTGCAAAAATACTATTTGACGGCATAGGACACATATTTGCCTAGAACAGGGTTTCTTTTTGTGTCTGATTACTCGGTTTAAGATCCAGGAAGCAAACAGTTCAGAACTCTGAACAAACATTCTGGCAGTCCAAACAGAGCACTAGGGCAGGAGGAGGAAGAGGAGACAAAACAAGAGGGTTGACCGGGGAAGGCATGACTTGGGCCATTTTCCCCAGGGTTTCAGCCTATACATATGTGTATACACACACACACACACACACACATATAGATTTTTTTTTTTTGAGAGGAAATGCACTCTTTTCTGGTCCTGCGAGAAGAGAGAGATCAGATAAAATCCCTTTGGTGCTGTCTTTGGAAGGTCCCCCAAATGCATCCCCACTCCCGCCCGCTGGGCTGGGGCCTGCCAAGCCACAGGTGTCAGGAAACAAGATGGCGCCCCACAGTGTAGGGCGCTGAGTGAGGGGGGCCAGGGGTGGGCCTTCACTTACTCGGAGACGCTGGCTCCTCTGAAACCCAGACGCTGCCAACTCCCTGGGCTCAGGAGTTATAACCGCTTTCTTGCTCTGGGTTCTTCACTTCTTGTTGAGATCAGCTCCACATATTTTTCTGATGATGTCATCCATTCTGACTTCCTACATTTTCAAAGTTGATCTACAAGCAAAACCTTCCATGAGGCTTAAAAAAAAAATGAAGAAGAAAAGAAAGGTGTGCTGTGAGGAGATGGAGAGGAGGAGGAGAGAGGCAGTTGCCTCCTTATTTTGAGATTTGCTGCAGCTGCGAGTGCCACTCCCCAGCCAGTTTCCTGGCTGCAGGGGGAGGCCAGTGGCCGGGCGTGGGTGACGTCAGGGCCAGGCCTGAGTCATCGCCAGCGGCCTGGCTGCCCTGCCACTCGGAAGGGGACAAAAGGAACCTTTGATGTCCAGAGGCCCTCCTCTCAGCACACTCGCCTGTACGGAGCAGCAAGCCAGGAGAACATTCCTGCTGTCTCCCCACCCCCAGCCGCCCTTCCTACTTCCGGAACAGTCCCAGGCAGATTCAGCTAGGCCTCCCCAAGGGACGTCACCCTCCTGCATGGCAGAGGCCTGGCCACTCTCTGTCAAAGGGAGAAGCAGAAGAGGGTGTTTCTCTGGGGATTTCTCACCTCTCCCTCTGGCATCCCCCTTTTTCCTTGTGGTGCTGCCTTAACCAGGGAGTAGAGGTGGTATTAAAAGTCATGTGGAAAGGCGGAAGGTGCTCTTGTCACATTCCCGGGTCAGTGCCCAGCGGTCAGTGCCTTTGTGCGATGGCCCTGGGCCTCAGCTCCTTGCTCTCTGGGTGCCCGTGTGAGCCTGCACCACCTGGATTTAAGAGGGCACTATACTTTAAGAGGGGTATTTATATCCCCATGCTGGCATGGGACTCAGTAAATGCGTGATGAATGAATGTATTTTGATATGTTTAGATGATAATTCTAAAATAAAATAGTAGAAAACATATACTGAATACTTGCAGTGAATGTTTGAGCCTCTGTGCTAAGTGCTTTGTAAAGATTATTTCATTTATCGTTATTATCATGACAAAGCTATGAGGTTAGGTACTACTATTATTCCCAATTCTGTAGATGAGAAAATGTATGCTCAGAGAGATGAAGACACTTCTCTAAAGTCTCACCCCTGGTTAATGGCAGAGCCTGGGTCATTTGATCTCAAATCCTGTGTTCTGAACCACCATGGTGAGTGGCTGAGGTGAATGTGTGAATAATGACCAAGGGCAGCCTGGTTCAGGTGAGCAGAGATACGGGTAATGATGGGGCTTGAAACCAATTGCGCAAGGAAGGAATGGAGCAATTAGGAATGATCTGCCAGAGTGGGGGGCCTCATGTCCTCCTCATGGGTCAACACAAGGTCTGAGTCTTGGTGGGTCACACAGAGTGGTCAGGAGGGCATGTTCATTGTCAGGTCCAAGTGGGGATGAGAAGCTGGGATGGGAAGACAAAGCCAGGGGGGTCTGGTGGTGTGTGGTGGATGCAGGGTGTGAGTGAACAGTGGACAGAGTACCTCAGAGGGGGCGAGGCCCAGACTTGTCTTTGTTGCCCCCTGGACTCATGGGCATACATGGGGTGGGGGTGGTCAGTGCAGCTAAAGGCCCAAGTCTGGGACAGGCAAGAAGACTACAGAGAAGAAAGACTAGATAGCTCTCAAAGACTCCAAGAGCTAACTCCAAGAAGGAGTTAGAACAATGGTGTATTTCAAGTACGAGGAGGACCTGGAGGTGACAGGAACAGTGCCTGGACCTGCCCGCTGCAGTCACTGCCCTGAGCACTGCCCTATCAGGCATCAGCAGCCTTTCCGGGACAGAGAGTCTTGTCAGTGGCTGTGTTCAAGCTAAGATGAGGAGGGCTGGCAAGAGCAGAACATCTGCTTCTGGGGATATCTGGGCCCGGGATAGAGATGACCTTGGAGGTATCTTCTCCTTCTGGGGTTTATGATTTCGTGGTTTGTACTTTTCCATGATTCTCCTAGAATAAATGTCTCATTCTGAGAGGAAGACAAACGCCAGGAATTTCCAGTCCCTTTGCGGAAGTAGGGAGGGAGTCGTCGCTGGCCTCCTCAATAATGCCACTCCACAGCTTTCCTTCCACTGTGGTCATGAGACCCCTCTCCTGGGCTCAGGAGATCAATGCCTCTGATAGCTAGGGACATGGTGTAGTTACCTTGTTCCTGGGAGCTCTGCCAGTTGCCACTCTGAGGAATTACACTTGTGCGGTGGGGGTCTGACTCCCCAGGCAGGTGGAATTAGCAAAGGTGAATTTCAGAAGAGAGAGAGCCACATGCTTTTAATTAAGGGAGCAGCAACAACTGATCAGGGTCACTGTCAACGTCCACACACAGCCTGACCTTGAGCTGAGGAAAGTGCTCTAAGTTCCAGGCATTTTTGGCAGAAGGCTTGTTTATTCTTTCCTTGTCTCTCTGCAGAAAATGCCTCTGGGCACCTCCCCACTCTGCGTCCCAAAGGCTTGGTGGCCTTGCTTGCTTCACGTACACAGGTAGTTATTTCTCTAATAAGATGAAGACAGGCTGATTATTTTTTCAGTCTACATTGTGGGGCCAGGATAATGTAAAGAGGAAAGGAAAGAAGGAGAAATGATGAGTAAGCTTAAGAGAGATGCAGAGCCTTGTACTGTGTGTTCTGAGGTTGCTTCTAATAGGATAAAATCAGAATTGGGCTAAACAATCTACGGGGGGACACAGAAAAGTAAATACAGTGACACCCCCTAAACTCTACCCCATCTGGAGAATCCTTTGTTACAACAAATGCAGTTATATACTCGTAATTAAAAAATAAATTAATTAAACCTTTATGGGTTCAAGGAATTCCTTGGAAGACTGGTCTATACTTGCTGTCTCTAATTTCTCTCATCTCATTCACTTTTTAGAAACAATTTATTAACGGGGCACCTAGGTGGCTCAGTCAGTTAAGCGTCTGCCTTTGGCTCAGGTCGTGATCCCAGGGTCCTGGGATCGAGCCCTGCATCGGGCTCCCTGCTCCGCAGGAAGCCTGCTTCTCCCTCTCCCTCTGCTCCTCTCCCTGCTTGTGCTCTCTCTCTCTCTCTCTCTCTGTCAAATGAATAAATAAAATCTTAAAAAAAAGAAAGAAACACAATTTATTAAGATATAATTTACATACCATAAGGTTAACCCACTTAAAGTGTACAAGTCAATGGATTTTAGTATATTTACAGAATTGTGTGACCTGTAACCCAATTTTATTTTATTTTTTTAAAGATTATTTATTTATTTATTTATTTATTTATTTAAGATTTAATTTATTTATTTGACAGAGAGAGACACAGCGAGAGAGGGAACACAAGCAGGGAGAGTGGGAGAGGAGAAGCAGGCTTCCTGCGGAGCAGGGAGCCCAATGCGGGGCTCAATCCCAGGACCCTGGGATCATGACCTGAGCTGAAGGCAGACGCTTAACGACTGAGCCACCCAGGCGCCCCTGTAATCCAATTTTAGAAGCTTTCTATTACCCCAAAAAGAAACTACGTGCCCATTAGTAGTCACTCCTCACTTGTGCATCGCCCCTCCCCCAATGCTAGGCAAACATTAATCTTCTGGCCATTTCATATAAATGGGATCACATGATACATGGCCTTTGTGTCTGACTTCTTTCACTTAGCACAATATTTTCAAAGTTTATCCATGTTGTAGAATCAATCCGTACTTCATTCTTTTTAAGTTTATTTATTTTATTATTTTTAATTTTTTTTAGTAAGCTCTATGCCCAGCATGAGGCTTGAGCCCACAATCCTGAGATCAAGAGTCACATGCTCTACCAACTGAGCCAGCCAGATGCCCCTGTACTTCATTCCTTTTTATGCCCAAATAATATTCCATTGTGTGGTTGTACCACATTTTGTTTATCCATACATCAGTTGATGAACATTTGAGCTGTCTCCATTTTTGACTGTTTATGTTGCCATGAACATTCAAGTACATGTTTTTGTGTGGACATATGTTTTCATGTCTCTTGGGTAGCTACCAAAGAGTGGAACTGCTGGGTTGGGTCATAAGGTGACTCTATGTTTAACATTTTAATGTATGTGCTGCCGAAGCAAGCACTCTATGTTTACCATTTTGAGGAGCTGTCAAACTATTTTCCAAAGTGCACCATTTTACATTCCCACCAGCGATGTGTGAGAGTTCTGATTTCTCCACATCCTTACAACACTCTTCTTGTCTATCTTTTTGATTCTAGCCATCCAAGTGGGTGCGATGTAGTATCTCGTTTTGCTTTTGATTTTCATCCCCCTAGTGACTAATGATGTTGAGCATCTTTTCATGAGTTACTGGTCATTTGTATATCTTCTTTGGAGAACTCTTTGTTCAAATCCTTTGTCCATTTTTAGATTGGATTATTTGTCTTTTTATTGTTGAGTATAGATCTACATACAAATCCCTTATCAGATATATGTTTTACAAATATTATTGCCTTGTCTGTGGGTTGTCATTTCATTTTATGATATTCTTTGAAGGAGAAAGGTTTTTAATGTTGATGAAGTCCAATTTATCAATCTTCTCTTACCTCACTGTGCTTTTGGTATCATATCTGAGAAACTATTGTCTAACCCAAGGACATAAAGATTTATACCTGAGTTTTCTTCTAATAGATTTATAGTTCCAGTTCTGACATTTAGGTCTATGATCCACTTTAATTTTTTTTATAAGATTTTTATTTATTTATTTGAGAGAGAGAGAGAGAACAGAGGGAGAGTAGGAGGGAGAAGCAGACTCCTGCTGAGCAGGAAGCCCGATGCGGGGCTCAATCCCAGGGCCCTGCGATCACGACCGGAGCCGAAGGCAGTCTCTCAACAGACTGAGCCACCCAGGCGCCCCCACTTTAATTTTTATGGTGTAAGGTAGGGATCCACAGTCACTCTTTTCATGTGGATACCCAGGACCATTTGTTGAAAAGACTATTCTCACAAGAACTCTGAATACCTAAAACTATTCTAAAATAAAAAGCTTATTTTTAAAAATAGTCCATTATTTCCCCCATTGAATTGTCTTGGCCCCTTTGTCAAAAATCAACTGACTATAAATATTAGTTTATTTCTGGACTTTTAGTTCTATTCCATGGATCTAGATGGCTGTTCTTATGCCAGCACCACACTGTTGTGATTACTACAGCTTTAACCTTATGCTTTTTCAAATTTGTTTTGGCCATTCTGGATCCCTTGCATTCTTTTTTTTTTTTTTAAAGATTTTATTTATTTGAGGGGCGCCTGGTTGGCTCAGTTGGTTGGGCATCTGCCTTCGGCTCAGGTCATGATCTCAGGGTCCTGGGATCGAGCCCTGCATTGGGCTCCCTGCTCAGCGGGGAGTCTGCTTCTCCCTCTCCCTCTGCCCCTTCCCCACTGCCCCCTTCACCCCACTCATGCTCTCTCTCTCTCTCCCTCAAATA